TTGCTTTCAAACTTTCTGCTATTTGATTCTCGAGTGATATTGCTGAAGTAGGGAAACCCTTTTATCCTATGGATACATAGGAATTTGAAATTATTGCTGTATTCTCCAATCCTTTTGAAATGATCTGTTATGCGTTATCGCATGTGGGTCGCCTCACATTTGCCGATTGATTCGTCTCTGGGGCTGAGGAAGCTTCTTAGCAAGATCCGCTAAGTCACTTTGAGAAGGAAAGCGATGGCAATACCGTTTCGTTGCAGTAAAGATGTTTATGCTGATGTAAAGATTTCGCTTTTTCCTCATTCGTTAATCGGAGACAAATGCTCTACTCCTTAATAAATTTTGTAATTCCATCATGTATACTTGGCGTTTCTACCCCCCACCTTTTAGGTAATATTTATCCCTCTAGAAATATAATCTTGTAAATATTTCCTGATTAGTGTTGCTACCATGCAGAAGTCGATTTGTGCGCACCATCAGATCTAATGAACTTGATCATGTCTCAGTTGTGTTCATGGTCGACGCCGGACGACTTTTTTTCGCATGATCCGTACTTGATCAGAGTTACAGTAGATCGGAGTCCGCTTACCTTACGTCAAACTATGTACTGCCTATTCACAGCCTGTCATATCGCTTGTTGGTATTATTATTATTATTATTATCAAGGCCTTTTTCCCCCTATTCCTCTCTAGATGGGTGCTAGTTTTAGAATACACATGCCGGAGCGTTTTAACAAGAGCTTTGCCATGCATCTCGGCTACCTTCAGGAGATCATCAACGGTCCTCTGTACTCAGTCATCACTTTCGTGAATAAGGAATTCGTTGGGCCTCTCATTAATCCTTCTAGCTGTCGGGTTTCTCTACCGGGCGATATTTTTATTATCGTTATGGAGGGTGCTCTTGAAATAAACGTCTTTTCACCAAAAAGTGAGGAAACTGGAGCAGCGCTGAAGGGCATTTTTGTATCTGATGATGTGGTCTACGTTCCTCATCAATTCAAGCACCGTGCAAAGCTCGCTAACTCCGAAACCTCCCATGCCATTGCTTTGAGCATCATCAACCGTGCTCCCGCATTGGTTGAGGAATTTGGCGATCACCTTCTTAAAGCACGCTCCTTTTCCTCATCTCATGCTTCTAGGAACTTAATTTAGATGAACCGAATGATAAAAATAGTAGTCTATTTCGTGAACTCCTACTATCCACTCACAACAGTCCAAAGAACATGCTCGACATTCTTTACATCGTAAGTTGAATGATTGTTTTGACGATGGTGTTCATGTAGGATTTAAACGCGGAGGATGGAATAGAGTTTGTTTTCCGTAAATGGTTGAAGGGTATAGATGGCGTGTTTACGAACAAGGAGATGAAGTTGATAAATTGGGAGGCAAATGAATTGAGAAAACAATTTATGGAAGACACACCGGCTGCGAAATTGCATTTCAGTGAGTGATAATAGGTTTATGCTTATCTCTGTCATGGTTTTGTTCGGTTGTCAACTGCACCTTATCGCTCACATTGGGCTTGGGATGGCTACGTTCGTTCTGCATCATCAAGTATTCAAGATATTCCGGCATTGAAGACAGTTTTTTGTCTCCATTTATTATCATCATCTTCAGACATCCGCCTGGAAAGCTCGGCTGACTTTTTCAGCGGCAAAGGATCTTGGAGCTATCATGAAAGGCTGTCAATTAGATCTATTTTTGTCTTATTTACAGTGGATCCTTGTCTTTAGTGAGACTTGAAGATGACACTCCGCTTTGATGTTGTCTTTCACCCCTGTGATAGTAACTCGCCAAGCTGCGAATAATCTGGAGGTAAAGCAACTAAGAGGGCCTTTTACCTCAGAGTTAGAAGCCAAGTGTGTGGCGTTTGATTTGTCCAGAGATTGCTAAAATGTGGAGTATTGACTTCGTATAAGGGAGAGCTGTTCATGCCAATTTGCATGCCCTTGGTGGACTATTAGTTGAATGGAGATCATGATAAACTGAATCGGTTAATAGAGTTGCTATTACATTCAAGCCGAAGAGGCGGGGCACGCAGCTCTTTACGGACCACATTGGGATGATCCCAACTTCGTTGATCTCGAAGCCGATGTGGCTAACATCGAGAAGGCTATGCGCTTTCCTGATCCGCATGTCGAAGGATGCGTCAAATTTGGTCAGGAGCTTGGACCTGATACACTCATTCGTCTCACTCGTCGGTCGGTACTAAGTCTGATTCTCAGGTCCGATGATGATTTTGCTTGCCTGCATCACAGCCTCGCCAATGGTGATGATGTGAGATCTGAAAATGAACCGAGGTGCTTGCGGATACCCTCAAAGGTAAATTTGTAAAGTTTGGGTGTGTCGAAATTGTCTCTATTTAGTTTCTTCCGATGATCCAGTGGCTGATTGCTATTTATCCCAAAAGTACAATGATCTACAACCTACCTGGAGGCAACGTGTATGATCAGGTAACTTGTTTGCTCAAATAATGCTTTCTTAAACACTTAGGTGAACATGGCCAGGGATCTGTTTGAAGTAGGGTTGATTCTCGCTCCCGCGGCTTATTATGGTTCCGAGGAAAGCGCACAAAGTGAATATTCAGAATGCCAGAGCAATTCGCGCCATGATGCAAGTGTTGGTGATATGAGCGCAAGGTTGCAATAGCGACAGCCGAAACTTTCATATCAAGTGAAGGTTGGAAATACAAAGTTGTCCTCTTTCTAATTTTCTCCCTGTGGGTGGGGTCCGTGGTTCGTCTCCTCTGTGGTTTGGGCTTGCGGTGTATAGGCGATATTTTCCAAGTCCAGCCAATCGAGCGGGTCTTTCATTAAGCAAATTTAGCAGAGAATGGTTGTTTATCTGAGATGTTTCTACCGCTTTGATGGCCTTGACCATCTTTAAATGTGATGCCTTTTTGTGTACACTTTGTGGTGTTCTAGGTTCGGGTTCTGCAAGTTTGATTTTGTAAAGTGCGTAACTTGACTAGTCTATAAATCTTCGACTGTTGAAAATTTCCAAATTGACGTATTTTTATTGGATCATAGATGGGTTGTTTTGTATTTTGTGCTGTAATTTCTGTCATTTCATGCCAACTGAATTTTGGTACAGTTAGATATTTGCTGTTGTTCTAGTGTTCTGTGTAGGTGCTTTTAACTTCTTAGCGTTTTTATTGGAGGAGGTTTTGTCGCTTTTGGTATTTTGCTCACTTTTTGATGGGCTCTACTTTCTACAATCGCATCTTATCAAATCCGTTATAATTTCTGCGAGTGGAGCGTACTTTTATAGCTTGCTTTTTGTTTAATTTTGCTTTTGGGTTCTTCAGTGTAATAGGCCTAAAAATGAATCTTTCTAGCCGGATTTATGCAATCTGGACTTTCCTAACGCACAAATCTCCCCTCCGAGAACATGGGTCATCCCACAATTTTGTTTGTGGTGTTGGTTCTGTGTTGCGTTCCTCCTATTGTCCCAATAATGGCTCAAAATACTCCTGGGAGTTACTTAAATCTTCCCAGCCGCCGCCTGAAGGCGTCTCCCTCCTTTCGCATTGGGTGCGACTGCTACTCCGTCCCAAATTGCTTTGCCAATTGCTCTGATGGTCAGTTAAGATGCTTTTCACTTTAGTACTTGTATCAATGCATGTCTGCTCACCATAAAAACTGTTTTATCAATTTCTTGGCACCAAATTGTCCAGGGCGTATGGACTGGGCAATCGTAGTACCACTTGCGCACCTTGAAATGGTCTACTACTCGTTAAGACATCCAATGGTGATTAAATTGGAGAATAATACCTTCTATAAGTCCATTCAACTCATCATTTCTCCTTGGCTATTATGCAACTCCCACCTGATACTTTTTCAAATTTCTCCCTTATTGTTGTTAATGACTCATCTTGTCGTCTATGCTATGACTAATTTCACTGGCACCTCTTCTTTCTCTGATTGGTATTCCGGAGAGGCCATCTTGGACAGACCGACCAGTCTGATCATGTCCGTGTGTGCGCGCATACGTGTCCAGTAGTTCGGCCATCAAGTGGATACATCAAAGGCGGCGGGCAGGCTGGCCGCGTGCAGGGGCGGTGTGCATGTGTGTGCTGCCCCGTGCGTGGATTTGCACGTGTGCACGTCCTGCAAAAATAGCGGCTTCCGTAGTGCACGAATTCCACTTTTTCTTATGTTACTTCTTGTTCTTCCTTCTCTTCCTACCTCTGGCCTCTTTCCTGAGGCCAGTGGCAATGCCAATGGGATAAGGAAGCTTGATGATGATTTATAATGTGGAGATGCACCCTCTTTCTGTGGAGAATCCAACTGTGTTCCTGCCGAAAAGTCATTTTAGACATTTGGTTGGCTATTACCACCTCTACGAGTTGGCTCCATTTTTTGCCCATTTCATTTGTTAATGCAATTGATAAATCCAGCCTAAATAAGTTAGTTGGGCTTTTGTGAATCTTTCTTTGTCTGAATAAAGGTGAATGCGCTTTTTCAACCAAATAACTTGATTGATCGGGCAATACTTAAACATTTGGCTGAAGTTGCGGTTCATGCTTAGGGAGTGGACGCAATTTACTAATCATCCAATTTCTCAGAACTGATTTAATTTAGATCATGCTTTCTCAGAAGTGACAAGCCTGATAGATGAGCAGCGGAGTTGGCTTCCTTAATTTGTTTATCCATCCACCTACCGTCTGTCAAAAGATCGGTTTCGGATATGGTTTGTGCTAGTCACAGTGCATTTGCGTTTATATTTATTAGTGACCAGAGGCAAGAGAATGGCTTATCGTCTCATTAAATCTGTTTACTACCTTTCTCTCGAGGTCAAAATTAG